GGAAGGGTGGAGGAGGTGAAGGGAGGGCTAGGAATGGGGAAAAAATAAGAACCAAGATGCATCATGTAAAGGTACAAGTTCCCAATGAGAAATGCAATTGTGTTGTATACCTACAATGTACCAATAAAAGAATTTAACAAAAAAATAAAAATAAAAATAAAAAAACTTCAAGTCCAGCCTGAGCAAGTTAGCAATTTAGCAAGACTTTATTTCAAAATAAAAATTAAAAAAGAATTTAAGAGCCGGGGATTAGCTCAGTGGTTCTGGTGCCTGCCTCGCAAGCGCAAGGTCCCGCATTCAATCCTTGGTACCAAAAAAATAAAATAATAATAATAATAATAATTTAAGTGGGCTATGGATGTATCTCAATGTGAAGACCCTGGTTTTAATCTCCATTTACACAAAGAAAAAAAACCATAAGGGCTGGGGATTTAGCTCTGTGGTTTCTCAGCCTGCTGCGCAAGCACAAGGACCCAAATTCGCTCCCTGGTACCCAGAAAAAACCCTTAGGTGCTATCTGTGGTAGGTAGGGGTTCATAAGACTGCCTCCCAGTTTTAATAATTTACTAGATGAACTTAAGGTCTCAGCAGATGGCTGTGGTTTATCCAGTGAAGAATACAGCATAAAAAGAGAAGGGAGCCTGAGCATAGTCTGGAGAAACCAGGCCCAGACTTCCAGGAGTCTCCTCCTGGCGAAGCACAAACAACATACAGCCTTCAGCGATAGGTTGTGATACCGCATCTGTAGTGTTGTCTGCCAGGGAAGCTTGTTGGAGACAGCGCCCAGGCTCTTTTGGGGCTGGTCACATTAGGCACCATCTACCTTGTACTTACTCCAGTTCCAAACTCCCAGAAGGAAAGCAAGTGTTCAGCACAACCTCTATTGTTTGTACAATTTAGACATAGTGACCCAGGCAAGTCACTTAGGGAATGGTGGGAAGACTCCTGGAACCCAGGTTCCCAGACACCAACCAGCCCAGAACACCTGGAAGGCAGTCTTTCCAAGGAGAGCTGTCAGCTTTTGCTGTCTTAACTCTTCTGCATGCTGTCCTACATACATGTTCTGTTTTAAAATGGCATCATTTTTCCTTATTACAGAAATAATACATGTGCCTCATTAGAAAAAATATATAATAAATTTTAAAATAATCTATGATATCACCACCCAGAGAAATATCAAAAAAGAAGTTTAAAAATAAGTTTCAGGGGCTGGGGGTTTAGCTCAGTGGTTCTGCCACCTGCCTCGCAAGCAACAAGGACCTGAGTTCCATCCCCGGGACCAAAATAATAATAATAATGTTTCAGTATCACCATCCAGAGATAAATATCAAAACCACCTTTCTGGGCCGGGATTTAGCTCAGAGGTTCCGGCGCCTGCCATGCAAGCACAAGGTCCCAAGTTCAATCCCCAGTACCAAAAAAAAAAAAAAAACCCACCTTCCTGTGCACACTTGTGATCCCGGCACTTGGGAAACTGGAGGCAGGAGGATGGAAGTGAGTTTGAGGCCAGCCTGGACTGCACAATGAGTTCAAGACCAACCTCAACTACATAACAAGATCCTGACTCAAAAAAAAAAAACCGTCCAGACTTTTTCTATAGGTATATATCATTCCAATACTGTAATAATATTTGGTAACCTTTTCCTCCCTCTGAACAATATACTTTCAAATTTATTCAAGTCATTAAATATTCTACATGATTTTTAAAGGCTAGTTATCATCCCAAAGTATGGTTGTATGATAATTTATTTAACCAGTGTGCTGTCTTTGGATATTTAGTTAGGATTTGTTTGCTATTAAATTAAGATGAATATTCCTGAGGTTATTTCTTTATGTATATCTTTATTTCTTTAAGATAAATTCCTAACAATAGAATTATTACTTTCACATGTACTTCATGTGAGAAAAAGGACAGACGAACTTTTTTTTAGAAAAAAAACCTTATCTAGGGCCTGGGAATTTAGCTTACTGGTTCTGCTACCTGCCTCACAAGCACAAGGTCCCGAGTTTGATCCCTGGTACCAAAATAAAAACCCTTGTCCATTCAGGAAACATTTGTTTTGCTAGGCTGTAGGGATGCAAAGGTAACAAGGGTGGGTAGGGTTAAGAAGAGAGGGGGATGGATGGGCCTTGATCTGGTGGTCGAGTTCCACTGAGGTCTGCAGAATGAAAGGTCTCAAGGAGTGGGAGGTTTAAAAACCAACTTACGAGGAGGAAGATATTTCCTAATACTGACTAGTGGCAGCTCAATATAAACACAACAGATTAGCTGTTAATCCACTGCAAAAGACATCTAACTTTATTGTTTCTCTAACTTTAAAATTAGTAGCCTGAATTAGACTGGATCTTGGCCTTGTAACAATGATTAAATTACTCAGCCAGAGCCTCAAACTTGCAATCCTCCTCCCTCAGTTTACCAAAGTGCTAGGATTACAAGCCTACACCACCATGTCCCACTGTATCTGAGCTTTTTTAGGCCAGAAATCCATTCCCAACGCAGTCGAAAAATAAATTTCTTTTTAGTCCATTTTTCTCTCTAATTATTTTGGGTACCTTCAAGGTAATATAAAATTAAATTCTTTATGAGATTTACAGTCTAAAAGAGAGAATAAGACAGTTTTACTGATTATTCTACTAGAAGATATATGTATGCTTTGGGTAATTTTATTTTGAAAAATAAGAATAATACCGTTACATTGGCAAATAATAATTTATATCTAACAGTAGTAGGTAGAGGAGAAATAGAGGAGGAAAACATGTTTGTTTTTTCTTCTATCCATGTTGGTTCACTGGCTGGACCCTGTAACAAGAGGAATTAAAAGGAGAAAAGTATACAGACTTAGGGTAGGGCAAAAGGAGATGAGGTGAGCTAGTGAGCTGGGGGAAACAGTGAGGCATGTTAGTCCACATTCCTCCCCAGGTGGCTTCATCTGTCTTTAAAGCCAAGGATGCTCCTTTCCTGAGGGAGGGAGGGAGGATACCCCTCACCTGAGGGTCTTCTGACCTGCTTCAGGGAAAGGCCAGGGGGTCCTTCCTGCATAGGCTATTCCTCACATTCCCCCAGCTTAAAATATTCAGTGTGCCAAGGGACTGTGTCTCGGTGTAACATGCTGTAAACCCCATGAAGTAAAGGTCAAGATTCAGGTTTAATTTTTGAACTTCATTTGTATTTGATCCTAGAATGCAACTTTTAGAGCAATTAGGCATTTTAATATTGACCTCAGTTTACTCTGTGCCATCCTTTCAGTTACCTGTATTCTTATAAAAATTCACATTGAAAGTACTTGAAGACTAAAATATTTTACAAAGTAGTTCTCATCTGACTAGAATTCTTTTTACCAATTTTTGGAACTTTAGCATTTTAAAAAGGATATAGTTATGGGGCCGGGGATTTAGCTCAGTGGTTCCGCCACCTGCCTTGCAAGCGCAAGGACCCGAGTTCAATCCCCGGTCACAAAAAAAAAAGGGGGGGGGGGAATATAGTTATACTGTTGTTCTAAGAAGATAGGAAAATTCAATCGGGAGGGCAAAACAAAGTTTAACAAATAAATGCATGGTCTCTGAATTCAGAATTTAGTTCATGTCTTCATTCTCTGGCTCAGCCACTTGCCATATGACTTCGGGAAAATAACCAAACTTTTCTGTAACTAAATTTATAATAATAAACCCAAACTCATATATGAGGACTTAAATTCATATGGGATAATGTCTGCCACCTAATTAAGTACAATCAAGCTTTAACATTTTTTTAAGGCATATAGAAATGCCTTTTGATCTTTATTTGTTACTTGCTATTACACAGGGTTCACTTAGAAGCTGATGCCACAGAATGTAAAGAAACATTGTTTTAAAATAAACTTTAGAATTCCAAAAACAAAAGAAAGAATTCCAGCTATAGAAGTATATGACTTTGTCTGACTTTTTAAAATACATTAAGTCATGTAGCCCTTTGAAGGGCCCTGCTTAGATATGCATTTTAGCACACATTTGATCCTTTGTGTTGGAGTAGGGGTTGAGGGCAGCAGTCGTGAAGATTGTTTAATTTCTGGAGTATCTTTGAAACCATTTTGGTGCTTAAGAGGAATGTTATATCTAGACATGTAAATAAAGGCTGCTGTAACTGATTCAGTGGTAAAAGTAAACTGTCCACGTGGACATGCCTAACATGTGGCAGGCGTAACACCACCTGCTAGGTTTAACAACAGAGAAGGAAACACATGTGGCAACCCCTAGACATAGCAAGTGATAATGCCCTTTACATTAAAGAGCTTGGATGTTCACTGCTGCTCTTTCAGATTCACTTAAAATTTTCATTAAAACCCATATCTCCTTTTGAACTACCTGACAGCATTGCAGTTTAACTTCTCTTTGCCTTTTCCTATAAATCACTTTGGGTAAGCAACTTCTTTAATAATTTTAGTATTATACATGTTCTCAGACCCTAAACATACCTAATGAGCACCAGTCAGGCAAGATCTGTTGTTTTTGTCACTCATCCTGAAACACTGATCTCAGTGAAACTATTAATGAGAGTTAACCTGATCAAAAACATTTTTAAATCATTTGAATTTGAAATAGAGAAGAGTAAAACCATTGCTTAAAGAATAAAACAAAGTGTTATTTCCCTTTGGTATTTTTACCAAGTCTTAACTTTCTAGTTATATTACATACTTTATGTCCTTTATCACTCTACAGACATATTTTGGGATGGATGTCTCTGCGGTAGAAGATTCAGTTCAGAGACGAGCACTGGAAACCATGATAAAAACCTATGGGCAGACCCCACGCCAGCTGTTCCACACGGCCCATGCCAGCAGGCCAGGAGGCAAGCTTAACATTGAAGGCGAGCTTCCTGCCGCCGTGGGGCTGTTGGTGCAGTTTGCCTTCAGGGAGACCCGAGAACAAGTCAAAGAAATCACCTATCCGGTATGTCACTGGGATTTTAATTGAATTCAGCAAAACCTGTGGGATGACTCCTGCAGTGCCAGACCCTCACCCAGACTCAAGGGACACAGAAATGAATGGCCTCAGCTTAGATATATGAGCAGTTCAGCCTCAGGCAGCTAAAGCAATGTCCTGTGTGGTAAGTACCCTGTCAGACACAGGAAGAGAGAGCCTGGAGAGCTCGGAGGGAAAAAGATGGATATGTCAAACAGTAGCTTCCCCAGGGAGGGGAATGATTATCAGGGAAAGCCTTGAAAAGTAACAAACTAGGATTGTGTAAACAAGAGGAAAGATATGATTTCATTCTTCTTTATGGCTGGGTATTATTCCATTGTGTAAATACACCACATTTTCTTTATCTGTTGATGGGCATCTAGGCTCTTTTCACAGCTTAGCTATTATGAATTGTGGTACTATAAACATGGGTGTGCATGTATCACTGTAGTATGCTGTCTTTAATTCTGTCAGGAATATACCCAGAAGAGGTATAGCTGATCAATGGTATTTCTAATTTTAGAATTTTAGGAACATCCATACTGATTTCCATAGTGGTTGTACCAGTTTACATACCCATCCTGGCATCCACATCATCATTGTTTTTCTGTATTCTCAACAATAGCCATTCTGAGAAGGGTGAGATGAAATCTCAGAGTCATTTTGATTTACATCTCTCTAATGGCTAAAGATGTTGAACATTTTTCTATATGTATTGGTCATTTGTACTTCCTCCTTTGAGAAGCATCTGTTCCATTCATTTACCCATTTTTTAACTAAGTAATTTGGTTTGGGGGGGGTAATTTTTTGTTTTTTGTATATTCTAGAGATTAACCCTCTATCAGAAGAGTAACTAGCAAAGATTTTCTCCCATGCTGTAGGTTGTGTCTTCACCCTTGTTTTCTTTGCTATACACTCTTGTTTTTTAATTTCATAGAGTCCCATTTATTGATTCTTGTTGATATTTCCCTGCTACTGCAGTCCTATTGAAAACTCTTTGACTGTGCCCATGGCTTTAAGTGTTTCCCCTATGTTATCTTCCAGAAATTTCAGTTTTTGGTTCTGTATCTAGGTCTTTGATCTATTTTTATTTGATTCTAGCTCAGGGTGAGATAATGAATCTAGTTTGTATCTTCTACAAGTGGATATCTAGTTTTCCCAGCACCATTTGTTAAAGAGGCTGTCTTTTCTCCAATGTGTATTTTTGGCCCCTTGGTCAAAAAATCAGGTGGCTATAGGTACATAGGTTTGTTTGTGTCTTCTGCTCTATTCTGTTGGTCAGTTTGGCTATTTTTCTGTCAGCACCTTGTTGTTTTTGTTGCTATGGCTTTGCAGTGTAACTTAAAATCTAGTGTTATGATGCCTCCCACTTTGCTCTTTTTGTGCAAGATTATTTTGACTATTCTGAATCTTTTCTGATTCCATATGGATTTTAGGAGTGTTTTCTTCTAGTTCTGTGAAGAATGTTGGTATTTTAATAGGGATTGCATTGAATTTATAAGCCATTTTAGCAATTTGGCCATTTTCAGAACATTAATTCTTCCAATCCATGAACAAGGGAGGTCTTTCCATTTTCTAATGTCCTCTTCAGTTTCTTTCTTTAATATTGTATAATTTTCATTATAGAGGTCTTTCACCTCTTTGGTTAGCTCGATTCCTAGATGGTTGATATTTTTTAAGATAATTGTGAATGGAATTGTTTTCCAAATGTTCTGGAGTGACTTGTGAGTGTAGCCTTTCTCCAGCCCACTTATAATGTTTCCCATAATAATATTACTTACATATGTCAGACCTTAGATGTAAATTCTTTATGCTCATAGCTCATCTCTGTCAAATATGTATGTTAAATATAAACAAAACTCATTCAACTAATAAAATTCTTTTTTTTCCTTGCTGTACTGAAAGTTGAACCTAGGGCCTTTGCACCAAGCTACATCCCCCAGCCTTTTTTTTTTTTTTTGAGACAGGGTCTCACTTAAGTCACTAAGTTTTCCAGGCGGGGCTTGAACTTGGAACACTCCTGCCTCAGCCTCCCAAAGTACTGGGATTACAGGTTTGTATGACCACCTCCAGCTATAAAATTCAATTATAAAACATTAATAAAATAACTTGTTTTACTAAAAATCTCCAGTGTTGTATTTTATAGTGGAAAGCTATAGGTTTTACTTTGTGTTTTTGATGGTTTAAAAATAATTTCAACTACTATCATTATCAGAGTCATCAATTTTAAATATAATCCATTGCTTTAACATGTCAAAATAATTTAACAGTATATACAACAAATTTAATAAATGGAATCTAGTTTACTACTATACTTACTTCTAATCAGTTGTTTTGGGTAGGTATAGATAGAGAAACTGAACAGTGTATGTGCTGGCAGGGAGAATGTGTTTCCAACCTGCCTGATCCCCACTTCAGAGCTTCACACTCATTGTTCTCTGTGCCCAGAAATACCCTTTGTGGCTGCTCATTCCATTCAGGGCTCTGCTCAGACTCAGACATCTCTTGAGAGTCTTCCCTGACTCCACTGCCTCTGGCGGCGGTTCCATCGTTCTTAGCCCCTTTCTTTGTTTTGCTTCAGAGCACTTACTTTCACTACCTGAGATACTATATGTGTATTTATTTGTCTGTCTCCCATCTAACCTTGAATAGAGTTCCACAGGAGAGGAATCTGCCTATCTTGCTCATCACTGTGTCCGGTTCCTGGATGGTGCCTTGCTGTACAGTGGCACTCACTGCTTCTAAACCTGGTGCTTCTCAAGACAGGTTACTTGGAGTTTGGCTTTCCTGTGCTTCTGAACAGCATTTATCCCACTGCATTTCTTTATTTGAGCCACTGCAAAACCTTCTACACAGTCACTGCTTCTTGATTCCTCAAGGCCTTCTGTGGCACCTGCTCAGAATGCAAACACAAGCCTCAAGTTCTGTGTCCAGTGACAGTACAAGGAGTCATCTGGGTGCCCCTGATATGCTTGTGTGGAAATACTTGAGCTGTATGAGGAGAATTTAAATAAAACACTTACTTTATGCAAGCTGTGCTGTAAAACAGTTGCCACTATATCTGTGTATGTAATTAAAAAACAAAATTTAAGCTCTGCAATTAACATGAAAGGAATTTTGGGACAAGGAATTATGAATGATAAATCATAATTGCAGTTTAGCAACACTTTGTCTCAACTTTAACAATGATGGACCTAAAATTTTAGAGAACTTGTTCCAGAATATCTGACATTGACCCCTCTGCTCCCACTTGGGCAGTCCTGATGCTCCTCAGCTTTCCCAGAGGTGCTCAGTATTTTCAGACCACTCTGTCCTCTGAATGGTCTGACAGAGAGCAGAACCCCTAATTGCCATTCTTTTTGAAAACATGGTATGTAGATCAATGATACTTATTTTTTCATTCATTTGGAAAATGACATAATAAAATTGCACTAAAAATTATTAGAAGTTTTCTGGAAATAACTGAAATTTGCTTAGTATATTATTTTATTAGACTTATATGACATTTCCTCTGAAAAGTTGAAAAAACACCTAATTAAACTCACTCATCTAAAACAAAGAAAATCCTTTTTTTTTTTTGGTACCGGGGATCGAACTTGGGTCCTTCTGCTTGCGAGACAGGCGGTGGAACCATTGAGCTAAATCCCCGGCCCAAGAAAATCCATTTTTAAAACATCAGTAAAATATAAAACAGTCAAAAGGAGAATAAAAATATAAAATTGTGGGAGAAGCTGTGGAAGGCCCTAGTTTCTTCCCCCTGGATTCCTTCTTGATAGTTTTTTACTTGGGATCTGGGGGAATGCTGCCGCTGCTGTCTACGGCAAGTGTGTGGTGCCTTCTCTGCCACCTTCCCCCACCTTCTACAGCCACACCCTGCCATGCTTGGACAACTCTTTCTTCTCCAGAACTTACTAGTGCGCTGTGGAGCACCTCATTCTCTAGTCCTCCTGATATGCTCCATCAATAAACACTTTTTCATTTATCCATCATCTACTAAGAAGCTGCTGTCCACAGCATGTAGGGGAGTCAGTGGTGTCCCCAACTTGAGGAGTTAAGGGTTAAGTGAGCCTTCCTACGTCACATGTACTCATAATTTTTAACCATCCTGTTTACATAGGGCTTGTTGTGCTTCCAAATTATAGCCCTCCTTTATTATCCACTTTAGTTTAAATATTTTAGTCTTCTAAGAAATGTGCTTAGTAACACTTTTTTTATCTGCTCAAATTTCAAGAAATTTTGAATTATTAACCAGACATTTTCTTGCAATAAAAGGCCAGAGCTACAGAGTAAAAATCAAATAAGGAATATATATTTGTACATAAGCATGGGGAAGTAAAAAAGGTGTGAAATAATTCTTGCCCCTAAAGAGTTTAAATCAGATTTTCTCTTTGTTTAGAATCTAAATTAGAAGCAATTCTATACGTACTACCTGTTTAAAAGAATCATACTTTTTACTTTCCTTGGTTTTAGAGCCCTTTGTCGTGGATAAAAGGCTTGAAGTGGGGGGAGTATGTGGGCTCCCCAAGTGCTCCTGTACCTGTGGTCTGCTTCAGCCAGCCTCACGGAGAAAGATTTGGCTCTCTGCAGGCTCTGCCCACCAGAGCAATCTGCGGTTTGTCCCGAAATTTCTGTCTTCTGATGACCTACAGCAAGGAACAAGGTAAAATAAAACACAGTGAAGATCATCTTGAGGATATCGTTCATGAGATTTGCATGTTCCCACCTCATCTGTGCTGCTGTTCTGTTTGACTTCTGACATTTTCTCAGTCCTTAGTGAAGAACTCCTCAAAGTTCTGGTTACTTAATACAGTAGGAATTAAAACATAAGATTAAATGCAGTGCCATTTACTATAATGACTCCAGGGGGAGCCTGTAGAAGACAACTGCAGTGGTAGCAGCAGCATCACCTGTGAGCAGAAGCTAGGACCCAGCATAGTGGCATGCTCTGCACTGTGAAAGCACAGCGGCCGCTGAGTCACCATGCAGCCCTGACATGGGCACCAGCGTCTCCAAAGCTCAGGGCCTTTGGTCCTTCTCACTCAGTGAGAAATGGCACCCTGGAGACTGTGAGTGCTAAGCAAGCTGTGGTGAGGCCTCAAGGCCAAGCGATCCCCCACTTCATATTCACACACTGAGGCTCTACATTCTGTGATGAGTATGGGGATCTGGCTCACAAGTTCTATGAAGAGACAGTTGTCACCAAGCAAGCCAAGCTGAGGCAGGTGTACAAGAATCTAATACTCAGGGCATCATGAAGCTGAATCCTCCCCGACATCCCCATAGATTTCTCTGTGATCCTCTATGAGATGTGAGCCTGGTGCATGACAGATGCAAGCACCCCTGACCCAGCAAGAAACTTCCAGGATCAAGGTATGGCTTCCACTGAAGAGCCCAACCTGGGGCCACAATGCTGAATAAACTCCATTGGCCCAGAACCTTCAGCCATGAGCAGGGCAGTCTCTTAGTATAAATTGGATATTGGTTAAATTGGATATTGGTTTGTGTGTGGACAAGAGGTGGTTGGTGGCTGGCGAAGGCTAATGGCAGATTTACAACCACACCTTCCCCAGCCACCCTGTCAAGAAGCAAGGAAAGGCATATGGCAATCAGGAATGTGTGGTTCCTAGTTTCTTGCCTGGCCTGCTCTCTTCCAAGCTTGCCTAGGGCCCAGCCCTGCTAGAAGCTACAGCACTTTATAAGCAAAGTCTGCCTTCTTCCAGTCCCTGGGCTGTGGGAGGTCTACACAACTGGGAACTTCCTTTCTCTCACTTCCCTTACCCCCCAGTCAGAGTATTTCATCTGTTTGCTACCTCATTTCCTCCTGTGTTGGACAGAGGCTGGGAAGAGCACCAGCCTGACTCTTCCAACCAGCCTGCCATTTGTTCCCATTTTCAGATGGACAGTTTGCTGGCTGTTAGTAAGAATGGGAACTGTTCAGTAGCTTCTCCCTTTCCCAGGGCTCAGCTCATCCCTCCCCAATGCAACAATTTGTTGCCTTCTCCCCAGTTAAGAGGGTACAGGCTCGACTTTGATCCCTGGTACCAAAAAAAAAAAAGAGGGTACAGGCCAGAGTCAGAACAGGCTGCAGATGCCTGTGCTAATGGAGAGTTGCCTCAGGCTACCTATTCTAACCTCCTTTGCCTTTCCACCAGCTCCCTCTCCCCGAGTTAGAAGAGGATTGTCCACTACCCTCCATGATAAGGAACAGCATACTAGGAAGGGTGCCAGTGATGCTATGAGGAACCCACCACTCTTCCCTTACGGTATCCTCACCCCTTCTGGATCAGTCAAAGGAAAGTACTAAGGCCCCTTGATAGGGACAGAAAGGACACTATACTTAAAATGTGAAGGTTTGGGCTGGGGATTTAGCTCAGTGGCACCGCACCTGCCTTGCAAGTGCAAGGTCCTGAGCTTGATCCCCAGTACCCCCCCTCAAAAAATGTGAAGGTTTCTAAATAGTCCATAGTGATGTTGGGGTGGAGTTTGATTTCTATATAGAAAATAACTTTTTTTTCTTTAATTCTTTATTGTGCAAGCTCTATGCTTCTAGAATGGGAAGTGGCTTGGGAATAGTCCTCCCCAACATAGGAGGACTGTTGTGCTACTTGTTCAATTTCAATCAAATTATTTACAGATCCTGTAAAATAAAATAAATGGAGGGGTTGGAAGGAGGTAAGAATAAATGGTTATTATGCTCACAAGATGAAAACATTATGTATTTGATAGAAATATATACTTCACATTTATTAAATATACAAATGTATTTAATAGACAAATCTGGTACCTCAGAAGAATACACCCATGGGCTTAAACAAACCAAACAGAACAAGAGTCAGGAGAACATTAAAAATAGGTTTCAAAAGCATGTATTTTGGAAAGCAACCCTTTTCTGACTCCCCACCCACCAACATGGTGACAGTGACATGTGGAAGAATACTGTGCAATTGAGATCTCTTCCTATTTCTGAATGTCAGTGAGACACTGGAAAACTAGGGACATTTTTCACATTAAGTAATCTCTCAGCCCTTCCAATCTAATTTCATTAGATGTAATAGAATCTCCCCCACTGAGCACGCCCAGGCGTGTGCACAGAAGTGAATGGCAGAGGGCCAGCCAGCCTATGGACTGGATGCCTTTTCACAGTGCACTGCACTAACCTTGCCCACCATGAAGGCTGCTTGTTTGGCAGGTTCCACATATGGCCTTCTGCAGCTCCACATACAAGGTGACAGCAGCTGTGCTAGACATCTATCACTTAAAACAGCAAAGTGTACTGGCTGGGCCACAGTTCTTTCAGGATCACTCTTATTTCTCTCATAAATGAAAGATTATTTTTATAGTTTCTAGGGATAAAAGAGGATGCATACCATTTCATCTAAGTTTACTTAAGTTAGGAAGGCAAGGTAAACCTGTTTGCCCATAATAATTGGCATATCAGTGGTTTATTCTCACTTGTATCTTGCTGTTAGTTATAGTCACAATTAATGTACTGCTAAAAAGATGTAAAATACTAAAATGTGTAAATTATTTAGCTGTAAAGAAATTAGAGTACACTAGCATTTATCTCTATTGAGCAAATGAGAAATTGCTGGTATTATCACTTACCATTATGGAATTTTAAAATACCCATGTAATTCTCAATCTGTCTTACTTGTACCACTACTGTTCCAAACCCTTAGTGTGCCCTCAGTAGGTGGGTCCATTCAAAGTACAGTATTCTTGGCTCCTTTGCACAGTGTTTGCTGAATCTGTCATAATCTGGGTATGTATAGAGAAGTGCTTACGGTCTTTGGCCTCTGGAACCACAGGGCCTGAGTTTGCATCCCAGCTCCGCTATTCACTGTGTGGCTTTGGGAAAGTTCCTCAGTACCTTCCAGATACTGGCTTTTGATCTGTAAAATGAGAACTACAAAATGACTTTCTTCCAAGGTAATCAACAGTGAGGATTCAAAAAGAGTAATGCCTGGAATGATTAGCATGGGGCCTGGTTTATTTGAAATAGTAATATCCATCCAGTCCAGGGACTATGTTCACTGGATGGTCCTCTCTGTAGGTATTGCCAAAGGAGACTGCAACTTGCAGGTAGATGTTAGGATGCCGAGTCACAGCTGGCAAGTTAAGCACTATTATATAAGATACCTTCGTGGTTTTGCCTGGTTATACATCCACAATACACTGTGACAGCTACACTGAAGTGGTTTTAGTGATGTTAAAGACAAGGTAGACCAATTCCTTGAAGACTGTGCCTCAGAACTGCCCAAGGAGCTTTTTCTTCAAATACACTCAGTCAGGTCCCACTTGAGACACCTGCATAACAATGTGAGGCTTCTGGCCACAGCTGCACATTCTGAAAAAGCAATTTTCTTGCAAGCCCTATTTGAGACCCACTGTTCTATTAGGTAGTTTCTTTTTCTGGAGAAAAAACAAAAATGACAATCTTGGCTAATTGTGCACCTGCCACATTACGGTAAACTTTGATAAGTCTCATGATACAAGGGATGATCAAAACATACAGCGAATGTTTAAATTAAAAATTGTTACAGTAAAAGACATATTGCCATTTATCCCCGTCAAAATGCTTCTTCCCTTTGTTTTGAACATACTTAGCCCATTGTTCTTGCCACTTTCTGAAGCTGTTCTGGTAGTCTTCTTTCATGAGTGTCTTTATTAGTTGTGATTGAAGATATGATGAATGTGGCTGCCAAATGCCAACCAACAAAGTCAGGCTTGTAAAAAACATTACTATGTGTCCTCATCCACCTTATTCACCGGGATCTTGCACCGTGCAATTTCTGGCTCTTCATCAAAGTCAAAATGACCTTAAAAGGTAAACATTTTGAATCAGTTCAGGACACCAGGGTAGCCATGACAGTACAACTAAAGACACTGATGAAAGAAGGCTTCCAGAACTGATTCAGAAAGTGGAGAAAATTATGGAATAAAAGTGTCATTGGAGCAAGAGGTAATATTTTGAGGGGGATAATGACAGTGTTATCTTTTACTGCAATAATTTCTTAGTTTTCTTTTTTTGGGGGGGGGTACCGGAAATCAAACTTGGGTCCTTGCGCTTTTGAGGCAAGTGACAGAACCACTAAGCTAAATCCCTGGCCCTTGTAATAATTTTTTTAATTGAAACATTCACCATACTTTTTGATCACACCTTATATGTGGCCCCTTTCTATAGAAGCTTATATTTAGTATGTCTCAATTCCTTTGTTGTGAAACTGGTGCCTGTATTTGGTTATTATCCTCAGAAAACAAAAAGAAATCTGTGAATTACATTTTCAATATGCTCTTGATTCATTCAAGAAATATTTGTTGTGTTCATCTAGCTGTTGGGTATTCTGCTGGGTACTGGCAGAGATAAAGTACATCTCTCTTAAATATTCTTTATGCTGGTTCAAAACATTAGAAGTTTCGAGGGCAGTTTGTTTACATCATTTGTGCTGCTTTTATTAGTGACAAAAAGGCACTGATCATAAACAGTCCTCAGAAAGGGCATCAAAAATGTCCAAATTTTTAAAACTAGAAAACACCCTTGAGTGAAGGTCTGCCATGCCAAATCCTGCACTCGATGGGATTGAAAACCCTTCACAGGCTTTTCTTCTAGCAGAGTTTTCTTTGTAGTATTAAAATTTGTTCATACTGACTAATTTAGCACTGAGTATCTAGAAAGTTATTTAAATAGTATTTAATTCATATTTATTTTTTAAAGGAAAGGTTTCTCAGAATGTGGATAGGACTGTACTTTTAGTTCTAAGACAAAGCCCAGTGAAAACAACACAAGTAAAAAATAATGTAATTCCACTCTTACAATCTTATTGGTATTAAAGGGTTAAAACTAACTCAAATTGTTTCATCTCGGGGAGAAAAAGATTGTGCCACCTGGAATGATATCCTTCTATATAAACTTCAGCCTTTACTCTGCCATTGTTTGGCTGTCTTATAACCACTGAACAGTGGTAGTTTGATATTTTTATTTCTCCTTCTTGAGGTGTGAGAAGCATGAACAGTACTGCTATTCAGTGGTCAGCTATCCTGAGCTGGGGATATGCCGATAACATCTTGAGGTTGAAGAGTAAGCAAAGTGAGCCACCAGTGAACTTCATACAAAGCTCTCAACAGCACCAGGTAAACTGTTTCATGGAATATTTTATATAATTAAATGCAATGTTTTACAAAGGAGTCAGAGTAATAGCATCTACTTTTAAACCTTCTATAACTAGTCTAGGCAAGAAGCTGATGTTTACAGGCCTTATAGACTTTCTAATACTGCTCTGCTGAGTACGTCTGAAAATTTGTCTTCTGTCCATTTCCTTGTTGAGAGAGTTCTGATCATCTGCTCAGCACCAGCCAAGGACACAATATTTGAACAAAAGTAGCACTGTTTTCTTCCCCTATCCACTGGCTTTTGTCATTAAGTTATTTTCTGTAACCATAGTACAATCTTTGTTATCTGACTTTTCCTAAACATACGGGTTTTCAGCATTGTGATATAGCAGAAAAACACTAGGCCTCCAGCCTGTGGTTCTTGCTGGTCTCGCAGCTTTTTTATTTACTACGTGGTGTTTGGCAAGTGATTCAGCCTTTCAAAATTTGGCTTTCTTTCCTCCTCTTTAAAACTAGGATAACATAGGCCAGGTGTGGTGGTGCATGCCTGTAATCCCAGCACTCTGGGAAGCAGGGGCAAAAGGATTGCAAGTTCAGTCCTAGCCTGAGCAACTTTGTAGTGAAAATGTGGTGTCTGTGGAACTTGTAAGCTATAGCTCCCATGTAGGTATACAGTGATACCTTGGTTGTTGGTTCTGACTGCAATGTGCAGCCTTCTTTGTCTGGCTTTCCATGGGCAGTTCTCTTCTCACACTCAGACTTCCATTACTTTTGTAGAACCTGCTGCCTGTTTACGTCTCCTAAAATGTGTTCCATTCCCTCAACTCTTTTTAGAACTACCTTTGGGCAGTTTTTGTCCATGAAAACAAGGCAAGAAATGACTTGTTTGCCTAAGCTGAAAAAAAGATCATTACCAATTGTTATTACCTAGCTCACCAATAAACTATCAGCACTAAGAATAAAGGGACAATGAAAAACAACCTTATTAGAAATTTTAATAAGATTTTTTAAAGTTTTTAAATATATCAGCCTACATTAATCAAAACATTTTATACATATACAAATATATATATCGAAATTATAACCATAAATTATAACCATAAATCATAGCAAAGCTGGCAGTGTAACTAAATTGGAAATGAGTCTACAAAATAAATGAAAACACAGAAGCATATTATAGAATAAATATGTCCTTTCCCTTATTCCCTCCTTTTTAGAATTGTTATGTTTGACGGTGAAAAGGGAAATAGGTACACTGGAAGTTAGAAATAAAATACATTCTTCCTATCAACTTATATTAGCATAAATAGATGTATGACCAAGTGTAGCTCACTGGTATCATCAATAATCTAGGTTTGTAAACACCTTGACTCTGGGTTGAAAGGTGAAAAGAGCAAATGAAGTCCTCATCAGCATTAATTGACAAAGCAATGTTAAAGATACACTGTATGGTAATTTTCAATCAATACCTTTACACTTTTCATTACTAGGGATTCCCTCTATTTGTTTAAGAGCTGGCTGCTTCCAAGAAACTCATTATTATTGGAAGGACTTGGTATAAAGAGAAGGGAAAGAGGAACGAACAATATTAAGGAAGTTTTGCAATTCACTGTTGTATTTTCTATAGTACAAAGACAAGCTTTTGTCTTTTTGTTTTTTCCATATAAATTGAATATTAGTTTAGCAGATCCAAGGCTTGAATAAAGGTTATTTTAAATATAGCCCTTGTTTTTATATGGTGTGATTTCATTTTCACTGAGGTATAATTGACAAATAAAAATTGTGTTTAAGGTATATAATTCAGCATTTTAATATACATTGTGAAATGATTACTATAATCAAGCCAATTAATACATCCATATCCTCACACAGCTACCATTTGTGTGTGTTGAGAACATTTAGGAGCCACTGTTTTTATAAATTACAAGGATGCAAAACCGTGTCGCTAACCATACATGTGGCGCTGCACAACAGGGCTTCAGGACTTCATCATCCTGCACAACCAGATCTCTGCCTTTTGGCCTACACCACCCACGTCCCAGCCCAGCTCCTGGCAACCCCCTTCTGCTCTCTGCTACCATGAGATTGGCTTTTTTAGAATCCACACATGCGCAAGATCATGAAATATTACTCGTCTTTTCTGCCTGGCAGTTTCATCTGGTACAGTGCCCTCTAGGTTTGTCTATGTTGTCACAAATGACTTTTTTAAGACTAAATAGTATACCATTTTATACATACACATCACATAAAAATTTTAAACATTGAAAAATTACTCATGAAAAATCTGACATACAAATAACTTGAAAGATGAGATAATGCTCTCTTAAATGTTTTTAGCAAAAGGGGGTGGTCCAAATTCTTGTAGTAAAGTATTGTTTAATAAAGTACTTCCAGTGAAATGACTGCCTGAATGTCATAGTTCAGTTTTGTCCTTAGAAATATATTGTTCACACATTTTTCCTTTACTTAGAGAAAATCCATTTAGGACATTACCATATGAAGAGTCACCCTCTAAGAGTTTACTTATATGATCAATTTCAATATTGCCAGAGTCTAGAGTTCTGCTGGCTCTTTGCCTTCATCTTCTTATTAGTCTCATAGTTGTAAGGCATCTTCCTCTCTTGGTTTCCTTCTCTTTGTTATAATTGGTAAACAGTGAAAATTTCTGAATTCTTAACTGTGTTAAGGAAAGCTGGAAGCAGACTTCAGGAGTGATGTCTTAGCCTTATTTTTTGCTTTTTTTTTAAAGATGACACCATACTTTGGATAATATATAACAAAACCAAAAGTTGCCATTTTATTTCACTTACTACATTATCTGGGACATTCCATCATTTTTGGTGTTGTTTACTTTTAATGTAGTTGGGAATCCCAATTCTTTCAGTAGTAGTGATAAGATAATTCCTAGAATGATGAAATACCAAAATATTTCAAAAAATAAGAAAAAGTAGATCATTAAAGTCCTGTAGTATAAGTTAGCTTTATAAAAGGGTTCAGTGGCTCCATATGATAATTGCAAGACAGAATGCATTTTATTTTATACATATTTTTAAAGTACACTTCTTGAGGGAAAAAAAAAGTTATGAAGGCTCGGTCTTTACAAATAGAACTAGTGAAGAAACTCAGAAAAATAAGATTGGATCTAGGGGACCTTGATGTTATATTGGGAGGTAAGCCAAATTAGGATCACCCAGGCATGGTGGTGCACACCTGTAACCCCAGCACTCAAAAGGCTGAGACAAGAATTCCCATGAGTTTGAGGCCAGCCTGAACTACATAGCAAGACCCTATCCCAAAAAAAAAAAAAAATCAGGATCAAAGAATGTCATTTTCTAATATCACAGAGACTTGGACACATTTATAGGTCCAGAAAAGATTATTTTAAAGAAAGAACAGGGGTTCCGAGGAACCTTGCAGATGGGACAGGATTTGCCTTGAGAAAAGAGCCCCTACCTTTTCTGAATCAGGAGATGCAAGACAATTTGAGGCACAGAGGATGGCCAAGGAAGAGGCCCACACTGATAACCTTCACTTCTCAGAAAAGTGTGGGGAGGTGGGGTGGAGAAGGTGCAAGAGGAGCAGAGCATTGAGGGAACTGCTGTGAATATGGCACACACTGGGCATCAGCTGGTGCCCAGGAAGACATACTGGGCCATGTGGGAATTGAGCTGAGTGCAAATGGTGCCTCTGTAGTAAGGACGGAAGGGTTTGGCATCAAGGGAGTAATGCCAGCTTTTCTCTTTCATGTTTATCTTTTCTTCTCCTATGTCGCCTCCTAAGAACTGTTAGGAGCAATACATCTATTTGGATGTACCTGGTTCCCCCCAAAAAAACTAAAAAGAGCAAAGTTTGTGAAAGTAAAAACCAGTTAAATGTGTGAAAAACACATTCACACTCAAGCTTGGATCTAATCAATCCTTGATCATTCCGTTAAATTTCCCAAGGATAAATGAATATGTGTGTATAAAAATGTAAAATCAGGCCAGGGATTTAGCTCAGTGGTTCTGCCGCCTGCCTCCCAAGCGCAAGGACCCAAGTTCAATCCCAGGTATCCAAAAAAAAAAAGTAAAATCAAGTAAAACGTTTACCTGAAATCTTGTGATTATTTTATTTTTTTAAATAGTTGTCAGAAAATCAGAAGCATTTCTCATGATTTTAAAACATGAAAAATCTTTGGTTTGTCTTTTCAAAGGTGACTAGTTGTGCTTGGGTGCCTGACAGTTGCCAGCTCTTTACTGGAAGCAAATGTGGTGTTATTACGGCCTACACAAACAGGTTCAGTAGCGGCACGGTAGGTCCTGGCTCTTACATACTTGGTTTGGGACTTTGCGTGTCAGTGAGGGAAGAAAACTTTCATGAAGTATCATTTGCTTTCTGTAACACTAACTTAAAACATGTGTAATTTGATCTTTTCCCCATTTTGATCTTAAAATGTGGAAGTCACATGTCTGATTCTTAAGACTTAGGTTTATTGGGATCATGAAAATTTTAAAGGTCTTTAAATATAAAGGTCTTATATTTTGGTTTTAGAGTCAGATAGCATTTGTTTTGTATTTAGGATTTCTCATGACATTTGAATGCTTGCCTATACTCCGAGTATCCACCTAAATGCATAAGAAGAGTGTTACCACAAGATTCTACCAAATTTGAAAACTTAGAAATCCTAATGTTCTGCATTCCCATACTCTCTGAGTAAACTAAGTGACAGCCAAAATATCAGTAGCTTGTCTTAATTCCTGTCACTCACAGAACAGTCTTTTTAAGCCATTCACTGAACTTCCACAATTTGAGAGTTAAACATAAAACAGCCTACTAAAGAGAAGAAGATATATTATGCAATGCTTCTTTTAATTTCCTAACCTCTTTCTTGAATCAACTTGTCTTACTTTCTCATTGCTGGGACAAAATACCCAATACCCACAAGTTAAAGGAAGAAATGTTTATTTTAGCTCATAGTTTGTAGAGAGAGGTTTCAGTATAGTCAGCTCCAAGCCAGGTCAGCATGGCAGAGGGGCATCACAGAGGAGAAACAGCCCCTGGCATGGCAGGCCTAAAGCAGTGATCCTTCCTTCTTTCCCTTTTCATTCCATCTAGGCTACAAGCCTATTTGTTGGTGTCACCCACACCCAGGGTTGGTCATCCCTTTTCATTAAGTCCATTATCCACACCCAGAACTGTGCTAAACCAATCAGGAGACTAATCTATTATCACACATCCAGGATCCAGTCACTTCCCCAAAGCTCCACCTGTGAGTGCATGAGGCTTTGAGAGTATACCTAGATATAAACCATAACACAAATGCATGTGGAACAGTTCTGGGCAAGTGGCAAGTTAGGGTGGTAATCATCTTTCTAATCTAGAGTCTTCTCTGGCCTGTTTTTTTTTAATCACAATTATTTCAATTATATTACTAAATGTATTTTACTGGGTGAAACCTGAGTTCCTAGCATAGAGTGACTCTCAGATTCTTCTTACTTTTTTATCTGAATTTATTGCATTTTAAACCCTTGTTAAGGTCCTTTGCCATGATCCCTGGGGTATAAATGTGACTGTAACATTTTTTCCATCTCTTAGCCTGTGGAGCCATTAAAATGTTTTAATCAGGAATAATATAACCCAGTTAGCACTTGAGGGAGACTCCTGTAGGGCTGCAGAAGAAACATTTCTGGAGCAAGAAACTGGAGACCAGGACACAGCAATCCCGGCAGCATGCTGGGAAGGGCAAGACAAGGAGCCAGCAGACAGGGTGCATGTGCTGCTGGACAGGCTACTGCACAGGAGTGGGGCCAGCCAGATGTCAGGGATCCTAAAAACTTACCGATGGACAGGATCTTAAAGGATCATTTTACTGCATAAAAAAAAAAAGAAACAGCATTTCAGGCAGAGGAACTAGCTTACCCAACAGCATTGAGTCTAAGGCCTGTTAACCTGGGGGATGGCAAGTTGTTTTCTTGGTAATTTAGAGTATAAGATGTAGGGAAGGAATGGCAAAAATGGGGCAGAAACTGAGGCCAGGGATAAGCTAATTACACACCATGATAAACAGGATCCTTAGGAATCTAAACAGAAGGGTCATAGCTCCTGGAATGTCCCCTTTTCTCTCCCAGTGGCCTAAAATGGATGCTCACCCCTATGCATCTCTAAAATTCAAGGTTGCTGCTGGAGCCCCTAATCTTCGAAAACATGGAAGTTTTCCTTCCCCTGCAGATCTGTTCCAAACCTTGCCACTAGGGCCCTTGTCTGCTGTGCACACCAATCATTTCATACCAGGACATAGGTACCTTTTTAAAAACTGGATTCATCTTTTGATTTTTATCTCCACTGGTTTTCCCAACACTTTGAGCGGCCTTGTTCTTAGTTTTCTTCATTTCTGCATTTTTAATTGTGCACCAATGTGATGTGCATTACAGATTTTAAAAGAAAAAGATTAAGCTCTCAGTTCAGGAGCACAGAATACCTTTGAATAGAGCAGATCAATAATTTAAATACAGCAAGACTTATCTTCTTTTGTTTTTGAAGTATATGGTAAGCTTATGAAGGATTATATTACTTACTGTTTTTCAGTTTATATTTGCCTGAAAGCAGGTTAGTTTCAAAGCTGAGAAAACTTATAAATTTGTATTCAGTGAATCAGAGGTACTTGTTCCATTTAAAAATGAGTCACAGAAGAAAAAGTAGATGTGAGAAAAAACAAAATTTCTAGAAATGAAATAAAGAAAATAATAGCTAATATTTATCAAATGCTTACTTTGTATCAGGCATTATTCTGAGCTGTTTACATATTCTGGAGCGTTGAATCTTCTTAACAACCCTTGGGTATAGGTTCTATTGATATTCTCATTTTCAAGTGACACTCCTGAACACAGACTTTACCACTCTGGTAGCTTTCCCAAGGTGTCACAGCTGGTTCATTGTAGTGGCCAGTTAAATAGCAGATTACAGAATTAATAAACTGGAAGGCATATCTGTCTGAAAAACATTACACAAACTGGAACATGTAAAGATAAAAAGAGACGAGAAAGTATATAGGGAGAAGAATGAGACAGTCCAGATGTGGCTCATAGTCACAAGAAGAAAGAATGGAAAAAGGCACAATCTGAAAAAAAGTGACTGAGAATTTTCTAGGATTCAAACTTGAAATTTAGAATAAAGAATCACAAGATAAGTAAAAATGGGTCAAACCTGTCTTTACTGGACAACCTCCTGTCCACTGCCTCAGTTCAGCCCCTTCCTTATGCCACCCACTTCACCACAGTGGTTGTCTTCTCACTGTCCTGGCCTCCAGCCTCTTGCCCCACCAGTGAGTCTCCTGCAGGCTCTCAGGGGTCTTCCTAAAATGCTGATGAGATCCTTAGCTCCTGGTTAAAATGTTTCAGTGTGGTGTCCCACAGTGCCTGAGGACAAAATACAGGCTTCTAGTACCACACACCATAAACCCAGGCCCTGACCGCTGCCTTTCCACCCTTTCTTTCCTGGGTCCTCCCACTTGGCCCTTTTTGCAGTGCCACTTTCTCCCTTATCTACCTTTTATGCACAGTGCTTTTTCAGCCCTGATGCTATCTGACAACCCCTTCCCTTTGTCTCAGTCTGTCTTGCCAATTGTCATACTCAGTTCCCCCAGTGATCCCACCCTTACCCCTTCCTCTAGTCTGAGGACGTGACTTATCTGAGGGTCTCGTGGATTCTGAGAAAATCCTCCTTAGCGCAGGTTTCACTTATTACTGCCAAGGAGCCAATGGAGGGGAAAGCCTGTCTGATTTCTGGATCCCCAGTTCCTGGTTCAGCAGTGCACACAGGGGCAAGCACTTAGCACTGTATGTTGGCTGACTGAATGGAATGTGTTCCAGGTTACCTCTCTGTGACCCTTAAGTTCATGTGCAACAAAGAAGTTCTGGGAGGAAATTCCCCATTTCTTAAAAAAGTATTCAGAATAATCTCCTGAACAACTAAAACTGGATGAATTATATTCATATAAATGTGTATTTATAAAATGTATTTATACTTTAATAATATATAAAGACAATAATACATGTTTTTATCTAGCCTTCAGTATTGTAAATTTATATGTATTAATCTTAAAAGCATCAAAAATCTGACAGGCTAGTAGGAAACTACCAAGATAGAAAGATCCTTGTCTGTAGTCCTAGGTACTTGAGAAGCTGAGGCAGGAGGATCAGTTAAGCTTAGGAGCTCAATATCAAGGATATTTATCAATCCTGGAACATTGACACTGTCCTTGGACAGCCTCTTGTGGGAGAAATAGAAACCAGCAGTAGAGACTGTACAAGCTGGGGAGTCCCAAGGAGACCTTCTTCCAGACACTGGTCCTAAAGGGTACACTGGTAGCGTGAGGATGAGGTGGATGGGACCAGCTCCTACACAGAGTTATCATCTGGGTTAGAATTCCCTAGGTTGTCCAGGATCCTCAGGACCTGACTGTACCTAGAGAGGTCCAGACTGGTATGGTGGTTCACACCATCTGGCAGACACAGGAAAGGTACTTGGATTCTGTTTCATAAATACAGGAATTCCTACAAATAACTTTTTTAATGTAGTGACAAATACATAAAACCAAGTAACAGTTACAATTAAGGAAATGAATATATGAAAAAGTTGACACTTGGTTATAAAAATGGTTATAATAAAAGAAATATTTAAAGAAAGTTTGATTGCCATTTAAAACTGGGGAAATGTTCGAAGATTAGAATTCAGGCAGATCACAAATTCAGGTGCTGCAGAGCTCAACCAGAGACGGAAGGGAGTCCAGCCCTTTGAGGAGGGAATTCTTTCAACCCAGATACCCAGATCATGGCCTGAAAGGATTCTAGGCACACCCTTGAGGCCCTGCAGGCTCCTGGCCCGGTAGAGAGGGTCACAGTCAGAGGCAGATGGGCCCCTCTAAACAAAGGAGGGCCCAGAGATTCAGACCCAGGCTCTTGCTCTTATTAAAAACTAATCTGATTTGCTGTTCAGTTGAAGAACACCTGCCCTAGCTTAATAGGCAACTACTACACAGCTTCAGCTGGTTGTTCCAAGCCTCATATTGTCCTGTCTTTTGATTTTAAGTGTAAAATATATATATTTGTTTGAATAAAATAGCAGTTAAGATAGATAAGCTATACTTAATATATCAATACAAATATATTTCAAAAATAGTGAACAAAATGGGCAACATGCAGAAGATATAAATTTCATATATATATAGTTTATAAACATGAGAAACTATGTTTATAGTTATATTAACGTAGATGTGTATATGCTTACATGAAAACAAATAAAATTTAGGCTAGTAACTTCTGACAAGGGAAAGGAAATAGTATGTAGGATAGTATGCATAATACTTAATGCTTTTTTTTTTGGCAATACTGGGAATCAAACTCAGGACCTTGCACATGCGAGACAGGCACAGTGCCACCGAGCTAAATTCCCAGCCCACTTAATGCTTTATTTTAAAAATAAACTGACAAATATAAAATGTTAAGATTTAACTGGGTAGTCACTATATTTTATTTTACTTATTATTATAATTACTCTTTATTATACTTACTATTTTTATATGTCTATATTCTTCAAAGGGAAAATATTAAAATGCTTATGATAATAAATAGCCCACTGAAGAAAACAGGAGTCAGGGCTGGGGATTTAGCTCAGTGGTACTGTGGCTGCCTTCCAAGCACAAGGTCCTGAGTTCAATCCCTGGTACAAAAAAAAAAAAGAAAACAGGAGTCAAACCCTTTGTGGACATCCAGCAGCTGTGAGCCAATGAGGACTTCGGGCGTCAGTTTGCAGCCTTTACTTAGAAAGTTAGTCCATAATTACAAGTTAGTCCATTACTGCCCATCACCACCCATACGTAGCATCAGGAGTTGGTGTAATATTTTTGAAAAGTACCCTGTCAAGAACTGTAAATTCACTGACCCACTAGTAAAATTATGCAATTTATGCTAAAGAATTCAGAAAAAACAAAATGTTTATATTTAAAGAATTTATGATTAGCTCAGTGGTTCTGCAGCCTGCCCCATAAGCGCAAGGACCCAGGTTCGATCCCTGGTACCAAAAAAAAGAATTTATGGCATTATCTATAACTTGAAAATAATTGGAGTGCCTGGCACATGTCTGTTGAGGTAGGAGGATCACTAATTTGAGGCCAGCCTGGGCTCTATAGTAAGTTCAAGGCCAGCCTAGACTACATGGCAAGATTCTGTCTTAAACCTCCTCACTTCAAAAAAAAGAGGTAACAACTTAAAAATCAGGGCGAGGGATTTAGCTCAGTGGTTCTGCCGCCTGCCTCGCAAGTGCAAGGTCCCAAGTTAAACTCAATCTCTGGTACCAAAAAAAAAAATCAATGAAAGCCACTAAAGTCAACTATGGTATACTAACTATAAAGAATATTATAATACAATTAAAAATCATTTTGAAGACAATCTCAAAATTAGAAAATATTTATAAGAGAATGTATGAAATAGAAAATTATTTATATGGCAATATTACAACATGTGCCTTTGAACAAAGAATGAACAAGAAAGACAAAAATGAAAAACATATTAGTTGATGAAATTGAATAATTTAAATTTTTAAAAATCTTTTATTCTGGGGCCGGGGATTTAGCTCAGTGGTTCTGCCACCTGCCTCACAAGCGCAAGGACCCGAGTTCCAAAGTACCAAAAGTTTCTAGTTGCCAGTACCAAAAAAAATTCTTTTTATTCTGTAAAAAAGTTGAACTGTCTATGATTGAAAATGGTTAAATGAGAATGTTTGAGTCACTTTATATTTTTATTTTCAAGATACTGTACTAGGATATTTTGTTTGATGATTGCTATATTATCCTTTGCTTAACTAAATTTCAGCCATCAGAGATAGAAATGGAGACTCAGATGCATCTCTATGGGCACACAGAAGAGATAACCAACTTATTTGTCTGCAAACCATATAGTATAATGATAAGCGTAAGCAGAGATGGAACCTGCATCGTGTGGGATTTAAACAGGTATGGAAGTCTCTCACCCACACAACTATTTTTAATATTACTATTCAGATTATACAAAATATACACTAAAATAATACCACTGCTGCCAGGCATGGTGGTGCACACCTGTAATCGCACCACTTGGGAGGCTGAGACAGGAGAATCATGGTGAATTCAAGGCCATCCTGGACTACATAGTGAGTTTAAGGACAGCCTGAACTACATAGAGAGACCCTGTCTCAGGAAACCAAATAAATAACTGAATGAATAAATTAATCCATTACAATTTTAAGCAAGCCTAATGGTAATAAGATTCTTTGTTATATTATTCAAATCAAAAGATCAGATAGGAAAACACGTATGCCCTATGAATAATAAGTAGAAACACCGAGGAAAAGAATTGCATAAGTAAGAGAATATAATTCTCATATGGAAATTTAAGTCTTTTGTTTTTCAGGCTATGCTATGTACAAAGTCTGGCAGGACACAAAAGCCCTGTCACAGCCGTCTCTGCCAGTGAAACGTCAGGTGACATTGCTACTGTGTGTGACTCAGGTGAGCTCACCCCAAACCAAAACACAGGGCTGCTACTCCAGCAGTGTATAAGTAGTTATACCTCCAAGATCAGGCTCCTCTCAGGTCCCTGCTGAGCTAAGCACTTCACTCCTAGCACATAAGTATATTAAAATACATTGTGGTCCAAGGCTGAATTCCTCAATTGAGGCACAACTTATACAGAAATTAATATTGTCATAATTTAGCTCTTTTCCAGATACATGTAAAATTGCATTTGAACACACATAAGCAAATTATTGTTACATAGTTATCTGAATTTTCTGGATTTTTGTTTTTTTTAATCCTTAATAATTTTCAAAAATGACTCAGAAAACTCAGAAAAACACCAGATAGGTTGAATATCCCTTATCCGAAATACTTGGGAAGAGAGTATTTCAGATTTTGTATCTTTATTGGATTATAGAATATGTGCATGTGTGTAATGAGATATCTTGGGGTTGGGCCCCAAGTCTAAACACAAAATGTTTCATATACACCTCATACACTCATTCCACTTGTATCATCATGACAGTTCCCAAAGTTTGTTTCCAGACCATTTCAGATGGTCAGCTTGTACTTAGTACCACCATTTATTATAAAGGACAGAACTGAGCAGCCAGATGATGAGTTACTCGGGGAAGAGTCAGGAAGGGTCCTGAGCACAGGATTCCTGTCCACAGAGTTTGGAGTTGGGGTGCACCAGCCCCTGGCACCAGAATGTGTTCTCCACCTTGAACACAAACAGGCCTTGTCATTTAGAGACTTGATTGAACATGAAGATATAAAAGTGATAGGTGACAGAGCACAGTCCAGCCCCACCCCTCCTTGGGGGTGGGTCTGAAATCCTAGTGACCCGCACCTCATCTCATTAGTGTACAAAAGACAGTAAATTCCAAAGGTGTATCAGGAACAGGGACAAAGACCAAATATTTGCTTTTTATTATGTTACAGATAATCTCTTAGGGTTTTGTTGTTGCTGTTGTTTTTATAAAATATTCATTCTTATATTTAAGAAAAGTAATGTCTTCAATTATGATTAAAGTTTTCAGACATGAAAATATTTTTGCCACTCTTATCTCCAGTGATAAAATCATGTCATGAAAACATTTTTATTTCCTAATGACCATAACTAAGGGAAAAGATCTTACTTAAAGTCAACTTTAGTATTGACTGATGACTTTGTTGATTGTACCTTGTCAGCTTTTACTGTGTCACATCCAGAGGGATGCTGGGAGACTAACACAATGCTTACTTATATAAAGTTCTCTACTTTCTTACTTTGGCAGTGTTTGAAAGTTAGGACTGATCCTGAGGGAGCTGAATTTTTTAGTTAATTACTTTCCTGCTGCCAGTAGTGATTTACATCTGTGATACTACATCAGCTAGTCATATGAGAACTAGAAACAAAATTACTTTTGCTGTAGTTACCAACTTATTAGGATATTTGGGTGTCTCTGGATACCAAACAGTATAACAGAGTAATGGGCAGAACATTTTTTTCCAATTTAAAAAAGCCTTCTCAAAAATTTTAAGGCCTCTTGATACATATATAAAAGAATTCTCAAAGAGCACTTAGTATAGAGGACATAATTTTTAAAATTACTTTTTAAAAGAGAAGTCAAACGTTTAGTAACCCACACTATAGTCTTATTTTCTTATGGGCTAAGAAGGGAAGAAAGTAATCAGATTTAACCTACCAAAAATCATTACCTTTTAGTGGACACTACCCAAGTTTCCTTAGAATCAAAATTAAAAATAAATAAATATTTATGTATATGTGTGTACATATATGTATATTATATGTATATAAAATCTTCTCAAAAGTTACATTGTCAGTTTCATTCCTCCTGATCATAATTCCTCTGTTCTTATTATGGGATGTGGTTTTTATAGTAATAGGATATGAAATTACAGAGATGTTATAATAGATTATTTTTGTATTTTTGTAACCATTCTATCACTGGATCCAAACATATGCCTCTAAATGAGGGTGAAACATGCATGGCCTGGTCCTCTTAGGGTGCCATCATGAAGGTAATACTGTTCTCAGAGATTTAGAGCAAGTCGGTTTCCCAGTTTAATTTCCATGACAGTATATAGGAAGAATAGAGTTTTTTCAGGAACGCCCAAGTTTCTGACTTTTAGTTGATGGGTTAAACTATACATGAAAGCAATCTGGTATTGGGTTACAGTCTATAATTTTGGTGTTAGGCAAACTAGTTATTTGGTGTTACGGTAGCCCAAGATTCCGGGTGGTGAGTGGCTAGGATAATTCTTTGGCTATTAATACCACACCCCAGGGAGTGCAGACCCACATTTAGACTTTTCATTTTGAAGGATTAAGCCATGCAGTAGCTACAAGTTACTGTGACCAAGCAACCATGCATCAGTATCTTTTACAGATGTGTGTCAGTGATTTCATAACCCTTCTAACTTGACCTAGTACTCATCTGGTTACTTTTTATCTTTTAAAAAAAACTTTGAGTCATGGTCTCACTAGCTAACCCAGGCTGGGTTTGAAATTTTGATCCTCCTGTCTCAGCACTCCCAAAGTGCTAGAATGATAAGTATGTATCACCACACTTGGCTTGCAATCCCATTTCTTTAACACACTTAGTCTTCCTGCTCTTGATGCCATATTTAGATGACATCCCCTAGTTGGTGTTCTGCAGTGGGAAGTTTTAGTAACAGTGGGTGTGTGTGAAAATAGATTTAACATAAAATTTGCTATCCAGTATACAGTTCAGTGGCATTGATTACATTGTAATCAACGTAGCCATCACCACTATTTCAAAAACTTTACCATCAACCAGTGAGAGGCCCTGTGACCATTAAGTAGTAACTCCACATTCCTTCCCCCCCACCGCCTACACCCTGGTAACCTCTGTTCTTTCTAGCTCTATGAATTTGCTTATCCTAGATAGTTGATATAAGTGGAATCACGGTATTTCTCCTTTTGTGTCTTATTTTACTTAGTGTAGTGTTTTCAGGGTTCATTAATGTTGTATTATGTCTCAGAACTTCTTTTTGTGGTTAATATAATATTCTACACAATAGTGCATATATACCTACACACAGAGCATTTGTTGATCCATTCATCTGTTGTGGATATTTGATTGTTTCTGCCTTTTGGCTATTTTAAGTAATCAACAACACACTGTCCATTTTGGTGTGTGATATTTGAAAGTCTTTGACGTATCTTTAAATAATTTAGACACATTTCTAATGCTTGTGGGGTTTTTGCTATAAAATATGAACTATTTTCATTTTTGATAAATACTTTTGTTAGTCACAATGAAAAGGTAAAATTAAGGGTATGAGACATGTCATCCAAATGGGATCATGCTTCAGAACCTCTTTTGTTTTGGTACCAAGGATCAAACTTGGGACCTTGTGCTTGCGAGGCAGGTGGTGGAACTACTGAGCTAAATCCCCAGCCCCAGAACCTCTTTTTTTAATCAAAGAATATTTCCTCAAAGAAGGCTGTATGTGTCATCATAAGCCCAAGAAACCCACTTTTAATGCATGGCACACAATTATTGCTTCTTCCACCCTCCAGAAAACTAGAAAAAAATGGTCACTCTGTAATCTTTGAAAAGAAAAAGGTTAATAAGACATTGATAAATCCTTCCTAGAGGTCCTAAAGAATAAGTTTTCTTCTCTTGTTAAGAATCAGTTTTTCGGGCCAGGGATTTAGCTCAGTGGTTTCACCGCCTGCCTCAAAAGCGCAAGGACCCAAGTTCGATCCCCGGTACCAATTAAAAAAAAAAAAAAGAAGAAGAATTAATTTTTAACTCAGGTAAATTTTACTATAACTTTCTTTTTTTTTTTTCTTTGAAAATCTCACGGTTCACTTCTGGATAGTTTCACAGAATATTTTTCTCTCTTTTTATACATTGTTTAGTTTTTATAGATTGTTTCAAACCTAAGATTTGATATTTCAAAGGCTGAAATGTGATAATTACACAAAGATTCATGATTAATTTACCTTGTTGCTCTACAGTGTACATGATATTTTTACATTCTCATGGGTCACTGTCTCTAGATAAGTATGTAAGCCTCTATGAGACTTACACTGGAATAATTTAAATCTTTAGTCATGGTTGCCTGTGAACATCATAACTATACTAGCAAGCATGGTCCTTGGGGATGCCCTTGGGGACCCATGTGCCTGGGCTCCAGACCCTATATCCTGGTGACCTTCTGGACCATTTGGTGTTTTAGCAGGCGGAGGCAGTGACCTTAGACTCTGGACAGTTAATGGGGACCTCGTTGGACATGTCCACTGCAGGGAGATCATCTGTTCTGTGGCTTTCTCCAACCAGCCTGAGGGAGTATCTATCAATGTAATTGCTGGAGGCTTAGAAAGTGGAATTGTAAGGTAAGCCAAGTTTGGATTCTTTTTTTGGCTTTTATTCATAGGGACACAGCATTTTCAGAAATTAGTTTTTAATATGTAGGCATGTTAATATTTAATACCTAGAGATTTAAAATCCTCTTTGGATACAGGTTCTTAAGTTATTCCTGTTTTATTTTTAAATAATAAAGATAGCTTTTGGGGCCAGGGATGTAGCTCAGCGGTCCTGTCCCTGCCTCGCAAGCACAAGGTCCTGAGTTCAATTCCTCAGTGAAAAAGAAAAAAAAAAAAGATAGCTTTAGTGCAGTTTTTGAAATTCTATATTAACTATAAAAGGTTATCAATATGACAGTATATGAAGTTAAAAGTTCTTATTCCCACATTCACCCCTATAAAATTCATACAGGTAACACTGTTAATTGCTTATTATATTTCCTTCCAGGTAACTTTTAACACATAAGCAAATGTGTAGGTTTTTTCTGTGAGGGTAGTTTTAGTTTGTATAACTAAATGAATTTTTTTCCCTCTAGGTTATGGAGCACCTGGGACTTAAAGCCTGTGAGAGAAATTACATTTCCCAAATCAAATAAGCCTATTGTAAGGTAAGATCTTCCCCCTTTATTCTTCATAACATAATTTGTGAATGTATTTTTGCTAGAGAGAGATTAAAGCATACAGACCTAAAGAACTCTGTGCTCGAAGGCATCATGGAAAGCCAACCATTTCTCACACCGTGTTGTCTAGGACCCAGAGCAAAAGGACCACACTTACTATCTTGTAGAGCGAGTCTGAGTGAGGAACTTGGAGCCTAATGGACAGGCAGGATAGGTAGTGAGCCCAGGAGCCTCGAGAAGCACAGAACCTGTGCTTTTTCAGTTCCTAATCTGAAAAAACCACAATGGTAACTGATTGCTATAGGCATGCACTTGACAAGATGGATAAATGCTACCTTTTGCTGGGTTAACAAATTTGACTCTAAAAACTCAATTAGAAGTAAAATGAATCAAATTCTAGTTCATTAAAATAAATTTATTTTCATTGTACTAGCTCTAAAGTTTAATGAGCCTAAATTATTTTTAATGTTAGTTTTTTTAATCCTTTTTCAGGAAAATAAAATATATCTGTAAAGTAATTATAATTTTAAGAATATATATTGTTATTTTTTAAGGTTTCCTATAGCTGAGCATTTGTGGTTTAGGTATTAAATCATAAACAAGAAAAATAAAATAAAATACTATGCAAAGAAGGAACAGATTTTCCTGAGCTCTTGGGCCCTGGTTTTATCCTGTGTCACCTGGTTAAAATGAACCTCACAATTTGACATCAGAGTGATGTCTCAGAAACACAGTCAAAACCAATGAGCTACAGCCACCATTTAATTTATGTCTCTGTGCTCCAGGAGAAATATTTTACCTTCTATATCATGACCAGTATGCTAATATAATTTTAAGAAATATAACTACACATGAGGTTTGTTTTTACAGCCTTACATTTTCCTGTGATGGCCACCATTTGTACACAGCCAACAGTGAGGGGACAGTGATCGCCTGGTGTCGGAAGGACCAGCAGCGTGTGAAGCATCCCATGTTCTATTCCTTCCTCAGCAGCTATGGAGCTGGGTGACCATGAGGGGCTGTGTTCTACAGAGTATGGGACCCATACTTCATGATTCAACTTTGCCAGTGCAGGAGCTGAGCCTGAAGAAATGGATGACTGAAACAAACATCCAAATAATAGTATCTGCTCTTCTGCACAAAATTCCAAAGGCATCTCAGGTCCTGAGAGGAAAGTTCTGTCCTAATTTAGTGATGATACAGGAGATTGTGTCAGTGTGCACCAACCAACAAGCTGCAGGTCTTGCCTGGTAAATTAAAGTCACAGTCTTAAAGTTTTTCCCACAAAGGTATTCTAAAGAAAAGATAATTTGTCAACCTTTCTCTGTTTTTTTCAAAAGAGCCAGTAGAATTTAAATTGGCTAGATAATTATTTACATAAAATATTATAAATATTATATTTTAAAAGTTTTCTGCCTTGAGATACCCCTACCCCCACACACACACACAAACCCAATAAAGGAAAGAAAAAAAGACAAGAATTTTCAGGGCTCAATAATTGCTTTCTTTGAAAAGCAAACTATTCAGTAGGTGCCTCTGCACCAAACATTTTATGGAATATCTGAATACTATGAATGAATCTAAGCACTAGGCAGTTTTTCCCAGTTGCCTTCTTAGCTCAAAGGAGAACCAGAATTTTTTTGACAGCCACAAACAAGAAAGCAAAGAAATCTTTGATTTCAGACACATTTTGTTTCTTCATAAAAATTTTACTTAAAATCCACAAAACTAGATATTGAATATCCTTAGTTGAATCAGCAAGTTCAGCAAGTTAATAAGTCTTTCAATATCTGCCAATAACAGTTTCATTTACAGAGCATTGAATGCTTAACCGATTGCAGTAGAAAGCCTCCACTATGCAAAAAGAAATTTTCTTACTCAAAACAATTTAAAAAGGAGACAGCTTACTGAATTTTAAACAGAAGACGGAATAATTCTTCTAGGAAATCATTTCACCTGTTCCTATTAACCTGTTACGCATGAGAATTCTAGGAACACTAGAAAAATATAAGTGTACTCCATGGCAAACCTACACAGTGTAAAGACAGAATTTCTAAAAATCTTGAAATAGTCCATCTCTGCTATGCTGTGATAGCTGTATTTTTTCTTGGGGTGCTGCTTTAGTGGGTTTGAAAACACTGTAAAATAGGCTCAGAAATATGTTACCACAGGATAAAAGTATGTATTCCTAAGCATAACTTGTGCGTTTGTTATGGAAATTTAATTCATATAATGTTTATAGAACTACTTTTATAACTTCCACACTTTCTACAACATTCTGCTTAGAAGCTATAAAATACAACTGCAAAGTCTCTGCTGTCAAGATAGGGACCCAGGCAAGCAAGTGGCCACGTGTGCCCCTAACCTTCAGCTGCACACACGTGCTAAGGACCTTACTGGCTGCGTTCGGATCATGGTTTGCACCGGCCAGGGATTAATTCTGAGGTCCATGGAACTGCAGAGATGAGATTATTCCTATTCACGTTGAAGTGATTTGCTTTGTTTAAAACAAAATTGCAGCTATTGTCTAGTTTCCATTTTTTTACTGAGAACTTTAGTCTCCTATTAGAATAGGGTTGCTACTCAGTTTTTTTTAAGGGCTGAATTTTGTCATTTATGGAAAGAGAAAATATGCAGAATAACTGGTCTTGTTAACAGTGCAATATTCTATTTTTATGTAAAAATAAAAATTTGAGGGAATTATTTATTCAGCATGAAACCTAATATGTATATGTTGAAAACACTTCATAATGTGCATGTCATAGCAAACATTCCTATAAATTATCACAAGCTCTGTTACCTTTGTATACATTGCCACTTCAATTTGGAAATAAATTTCATAAAAACAGGTTTAAATGCTCATCCTTCATGCAATGTAAATATTATCATATCACAACTTGATGGCTTTTTAAAAACCCACATAGGTTCTTCAGCTGTTATAAATTTCTATATCACTAGGAAATGATGGAGATAATTTTCATTTCATAATCGGAGTCTTTGTGCTATAACGTTATATTTCAACCTTTCCTACCTCTAAATGAAGTTTAGACATCAGTCATGAGATCAGCCCACTGTTTTGACGTTTTGGGTTTTTTTGTTTTGTTTTGTTTGAGACAGAGTCTCACTATGTAGACCTCACTGGTGATCCTCCTGCCTCTGTCTCCTGAGGCCACTTGTTTTAAAGGAAAACATATCTGTCCCCCCATGGCAGATCTACATTGAGCCACTGCCATGCATCAGGCACCATTTTAAGTCCTGAAGATGTGATGATACACAAAATCTAGTTGTCCCCTGCCTTCCTGAAGGTCACAGGCTAGTGGAGAGGCAACCATAATCCCATAGGTAGCACACATGGTGAGTGCTGGGGAGGTCGAGTCAAGGTTACTCAGAATAGAGCAGAATTCAGTGTCAGTGGCTATTATCTAGAAAGCCCCTGGAAAGACTGAAAGTTTTATTGCAGCCTAAGGGATGGATAGTAATCCAGGTGAAGATGGGCACATGTGCTCCAGATGGCACAAGTGTGAACTCCTGGGCTGGAACATTAGCAGGCCAAGGCCAGGGAAAGGAGTGGCTATCTACACACACCCAGCCTTTGTGGGTGAGGACAGGCGGCAGAGTGGCAGTGACTCGGGACAGAACAATGAGTGGCTCAGCACCCAGTCTGCCACTGATTCTGCCTTGTTCAGGATGGGCTCTAGGTGTCTTTCTGTCCCCAGGAGAAGCCAGAAGCAGCATTTTATCAGTGGAAGCCTGCCGGCCCAAATGTCTGCTCTGCAGCAGGTCTCCATTGGTCCAGGTGATTACAGGGAGAGAGGAGCCAGGATGCTCTTCAGCCCAGTAGAGCTCATTCCTGACACCTGTCAGGCACTGGGTAACTCGGAGATGTCCTGAGGCAACAAGAAGACCCAGCAAGTCCATATTTATCAACAATGTTGAAAAGAGGTTAGCTGAAGAGTAAAACTGTTGAAATTCTTGTATTATCCATGTCAGTGTCCACCTTTTGTTGCTAATGATCCTTCATCTGTTCCTAGTTTATACACAATGGGGACAAAATGTCCCAATTTGTTCCCAAAGTGTTTCACTTCTTGGCCAGCTAGCTGTATACTGTAATTTTTTCAGTAAACTCCTTTAATTAATGAACTCCATCGATTATGAAGCTAAAGCACTTCACAATCTAGTAGTTTTAAAACCCCTGTCCAGAAAGACCAGCTGAAAAGCATTAGCAATTGGAGGGTAGGTGGGGAGGAAACAAATGCCATTGAACAATTCAAGGCTGAGGTCAGAGGAAGCAGATAAAGGTCATACATTCAGTGTAACCTGGTGTTAGGAAGAATCACATGATGTAACATCAAGACATGCAGTATTTATCAGGTATTTCCCCCAGTTATGTCCCATTTTAAATTCCACAATTAAAGCTGCCACACACCAGGGATTTAGCTCAGTGGTTCCGGTGCCTGCCTCGAAAGTGCAAGGTCCTGAGTTCGATCCCCGGTACCAAAAAAAAAAAAAAAAAGCTGCCACATTTGCCAATATAAAACACATATACTTAAATATACATAAAGATGGGAAAGAGGGGCCACCAGTTGTATATTATGTGACAGAAAAATATGCCTACCACTGGGGACAATGGGTTACAACTCAGCTATTTGAGAGAAATTAAATGTGTCCTTGAGATCAAAGTGACTAGAAGATTATTTGAGACTAGACTGTAATATTCTTTTTTTTCTTCCTTAAATTCTTGTATTGGTACATTTTAGATATACAATACGTTTACATTTATCATGGGGTGCTTGTACCTGTACATGATGTATCTTGGTTCTTATTTTTTTCCCATTACC